GGAACCCAAAGCTCAAATAAACCTCTCCTTCTGTTAATTGCCTTGGTCACGGTGTTCATCACAGCTGTAGAAAAGTAACTAATATAAGGGCCCACTATAGTATAGCCCTGACTGGCCTGGGACTCTCAAACTCAGAGATCTGCCTGCCTATTTTCTGAGTGCTAGGGTAAATTACACACCACATACTTGGCCATAAGTTATTTCTTGATTCTACTCTTTAAAATCATCTGATGGCTTCCAGTTTTGTTGTTAGGAGCAGCTATTTCATCCATTGTTAAATGTGACGTAAGAGTTTTGCTAGAGTGTATGACTAGAAATGGACTTGCTGAGTTATAGGGTAAGTGGTTCATCAGCTTTTTAAAATAAGGCTGAATTATTTTTCCAGAGTGGTTGTCAAATTTTTGTTGTTGTTGTTTTGTTTTGAATTTCGGAATTGAGTCTAGAACGTCAAGCACAAAGAGGTGATGGTTAATTTTGTCAACTTACTAGGGTCTAAAATAACGTCTGGATATCCCTGTGAGGGAATATCTAGGTTAGGTTAATGAGGCAGTAAGACCTACCTTCAGTGTCAAGGGCACTACTCCCCAGGTTTAGGCCCAGGACTGAGTAACAAGGAGAAGCAAGCTAAACATGGCGGCATTCTCTGCTTCCCGACAGTGGCTGCAATGCCAGCCGTCTCCAGCTCCTGCCACCATGACTTGCATGGTGTACTGTGTGCTGGTACTGTGAGCCAAGCAGACTTCCTCCTTGGGCTGTTTTTATTACAGCAACAGGAAAGCCACACACCAGGCAGGTGCTTGCTCTACCACTGATCTGTGCCCTCGGTCCCCTTTTTACTTTTTTATTTTGAGACAGGGACCCACTAAGTTGCTCAGATTGACTTTGAGCCCACTGTGTAGGTCACTTGGGCTGGCCTTGAACTTCTAATCCTCTTGCTTTAGTTAGACTCCTAAGTAGCTGTAACTACAGGCCTGTGCCGTCAGATCTAGCACGGTGGTTCAGTTTCTAATACTACCAACAATAGCTATGTTACAGTTTCATTTTCTCCCTAACACAATATTTTCAGATGTAATTTTTCCTAATATGGTACATGTAAATTAAAAATTTTAAATGTTGTTATTGGTTGAGTAAATACTTTGTGCAAAGCACTATGGCATACAATTCCATTGTCTTACAGTTCAAACTCAGCCTCATAATGGAGACCAGTAATGTATTTTGTTTTTAATTATCACTAAGCATCTCTGACAAACTTATTCCTAAATTGCTTTCTCTGTTCTGCATCTATCAAATTTATTTCCTGATTTTTAAAAACCTTTCACATACAAAAAAATAGGCAGGAAATGGTTACTAGCAGTCATTAATTACTATCAGACTATATAATAAAACCCCGGTTTCTAGCTCCTGATCCACATTTTGTCCCATCTCTTCCCATTTCCCCCAGAATCCTGTCTTCCTTCCCCCCATCACATCCTCCCTCTTTTCTTCTAAATTTAGCAGCTTCAGTACCTTTCCCGCTTAGCCGCAGCGTAGTATGATGTGCACTCAGATTGGGTGAGTGCCTGGTTCCAGCTGAACGGTCAGGACTTAGGCCTCTGCAGGCTAATGCTTCATGACCTCCTCACAGTCCACCCACCCTGTGCTGCGGTGGGGCCAAAGCTGCCACATTTCCACAGCTGTGCAGACTTCAGACCGTCCCGTTATTTAGTTACAGAATTTTAGTTATGTGTATGCATGTATCATGTGTGTGTGTGCCTGTGGGTGGGTGCCTGCAGAGCCAGAAGAAGGCATTGTATCCCTGGAGCTGGAGTTGTAGGCAATTGGGAATCACCAGATATGGGTGCTAGGAACCAAACTCCAGTCCTGTGCCAGAGTGCAAGCTTTTAACTGCTGAACATCTAGCCTCATCCCTTTTAATACATTTACTTATTAATTCTCTCTCTCTCTCTCTCTCTCTGTGTGTGTGTGTGTGTGTGTGTGTGTGTGTGTGTGTGTGTGTGTGTGTGTACACGTGTGTGTAGAAGTCATAGAATGATGTTCAGGAGCTGGTTCTTTCAGGTCTTTCAAACTTCACAGCAAGAACCTTTACCTGCTGAGCCGTCTCACTGGCCCAGACTATCCTATTCTTTATTCTCCATTTCAGGAAGGCTACCATGGAGGTGTAGCATCCTGACTGAGAATGGCCCCATAGGCTTATATGTTTGAATGCTTGGTTCCCAGTTGGTGTAACTACTTAGTAAGGATTAGGAGGTGTGGTCTTATTGGAGGAATGTGTCACTGGGGGTGGGCATTGAGGTTTCAAAGGACTCATGCCATTCCCAGTATGTCTCTCTCTGTCCTGCCTCTTGCTTGCAGACTAAGATGTAAGCTCTCAGCTACTCCAGCACCATGCCTGCTGTATGCTCCCTTTCATGATTGTTATGACGGATTCTAATCCTTGGAAACCATAAGCCCCAAGTAAATTCTTTAATCAATTGCCTTGGTCGTGGTGTCTTATCATAGACCATGACCAATAGACCAATGGAAACATAACCTACACAGGAGGTGGAGCAGTCAGGGAGTGGACTCGGTACCTAGAGAACCGTGTCTCAGAATTGCCATTATTAAACAGACTCCACTGCCAGAGCTAAGAACTTTACTCTAGAGGTTAGACTAAAAAAACTTGTAGTCTGCTGGGGGGGTGGTGGTGGTAGTGCACACCTTTAATCCCAGCACGCAGGAGGCAGAGGCAGAGAGATCTCTGTGAGTTCGAGGCCAGCATGGTCAACAGAGTGAGTTCTAAGACAGCCAGGGATACAGGCAGACAAACCCTGTCTTGAAAAACCAAAACCAAACCAAACCAAAACCAATCAAACAAACAAACAAAACCTGTATTCCACAAGAGTTTTGACTTGCACAACATTTAATTTTCTTTTTAAAAATCTTGATACTTGGGGCTGGCAAGACGGACCAGTAGGTTGGGGAACTTGCTGTCAGTCCTGGCAGCCTGAGTTCCATCCCTGGGGCCACATGGTAGAGGGAGAGAACTGACCCTTGTAATTGTCCTCTGACTTGCACATACATACCATGGCTCACATACACATGTGTGCACACATGTGTGCACATGTACACAGACACATAATAAATAAAATTTTGAAAATTAAAAATTTGGACACTTATAGGAAGCTTGCACTCACTAATTTGTCAAAATGCTCAACATTTCATTTCCTGTGGTTTTACAGCTAACTTTATATGTGTTTTCACCGAAGTTTTCTAGTCTCAACTCATCTACATGTGGTGACTCATGGGACCTCAAAGAAACTGGTTAGAATACATTTTATTGTTATTTTCTCAGCTGTGTTAAAAAATAGTCTATCAGCTTTCTCATCCCTGAGAGTGTCTGAAATAAACATGTTAAGAGAAAATGTTTTATTTTAGTTCATAGTTCAGAGTGTTCAATCCATGGCTGCTTGGCCTTGTGTGTTGGACAGAGCATCATGCCCCAGAGGCGTGTATAGAGGGGGCTCCTCACAGTGGGTAAGAAGTAGAGAGCAAGGCAGGTCTGGGGATCAGTATAGCCCTCCCATACCTGGTCCCAGCGGCCGATTTCCTACAAGGCCCCACTTCTAACGTTTCTAGAACTCTTACAGCACACCGCTAGGACGGGAACAAACATTCAGCACGTGGTCAGACCATCACGGATGGGAGAGGAAGGGGGACGAAGAAGAACATACAAGCTTAAAAGTGGATAAACTACAATTTTCAAAAAGTTAAAACAAGCATGATTTTCACGTGAAAGGACAGATAACTAGCCAGCAAGATGGCTCAGTGGGTAGGGGTGCTTTCCACCGAGCCGACAATTTAGTTCAACTCCAGAACCCACATACATATATGGTGGAAGGAGAGAACCAGCTCCTGCAAGTTGTTCTCTAACCTCCACGATTGTGACTCTCTCTCTCTCTCTCTCTCTCTCTCTCTCTCTCTCTCTCTCTCTCTCTCACACACACACACACACACACACACACACAATTAATTAATGTAAAAAAACAAATGTCAAAAGACACACTTACTACTTAGGTTGAGGTAGGAAGAAGACCACAAGGTCAAGCCCTACCCGAGCTACAGTGTGAGTTCAAGGTCAACCTGGATAACTTAGCAAGAAAAAAGAGAAGTAATAAAGTCTGGTGATATAACTCAGTGGAAGAGTTTGCCTAGCGTGCATGAGAGCCTAGTTTCACTCCTCAACGTTGAAAAAGATGAAATTTTATTTAACTAATGAGAGAACCAGTAAGATGTTAAGATCAGCTAGAGTGAAAATTTAGGAACTAAATATGTATAAACTATTCAATAAAAAAATGTTAAGAAGACAGAGGCAAGAGGATTAAAAGTTCAAGGCCAGCCTGGGCTACATAACAAGATACTAGCTCAAAAAAAATTAAGATTTCTGAACTAAATATAAAATGAGTAATGTGCTAAAGAACAGTATGCCACAGCCTTTGGAGTTATCTTTCACCTCAGTATAAAATACTTGTATCTCCACTGGATAAAAATCCTCATGTTAACCTCTGCTCTGGAGATTAGAAAACTAATCCAGGATGTAAGCCAGAACTGTGCTAAAATATCACCCCGTAGTTTCTGATGATTTTTTTCTGACAGATTGTAGTCATCTACAGGTTTGTTTGCCAGAAGTGAGAGGAATATATTAAATGTGACCTCCCCTGTTCCACCTACCAAGTGCTGGGGTCCCAGGTGGTTGCCACCCTGCCCATCCCCTGGCTCAAAGACAGGTTATTCTCATGTCCAGTCCTGCATTCCACATTGGTACTTGTCAGTGCGTGTAGGTAATAGTTATAAAAGCCATGCTTTTGAGCTTTCTGATGCAGAAGATACTTTGGCTTGGTTTGTTACAGGCTTCCTGGTGCATGCTGGGAGGCTCTAGCTACTGGTCTTATATATTTGTGGTGTTGAGGATCAAACCCAGGGCGTGATACATGCTATCTAGATAGGGGTTCTACCAAGCTTACCTGTTAGAATGCCATCCAGCTTTGCTACATGCTGTGCGTTGTCCAGGCGGAAGCACGTTGGAGGCTTGAACTTCAGGACGTTCCTCCCAGGGCCCTCAGTGCTCAGGAAAATGTAGTTCTCCTTCGGCCTGTGAAACAAGACACTTTACAGTCTTCATTCTTTATCCTGTAACTGTACCTGAAGGTAAGGTACAAGTCTGACCAATTAATTGGTCCCCGCCCAAGGTCCACTGTCCACTGTGCTGGCCTGCCACTGTCTGTTTATGTAGCTCTGGTTGTCCTGGGACTGGTGTGAGACCAGGCTGGCCTCCAGCTCAGAGGAAGCTCTGCTTCCCGAGGGCTGGATTAAAGGTAAGCGCCATTCTTCAGTTTCGTGAGGTTTTACTAAGCTGCCCAGGCTGGCCTAGAACTCAGCCGAGCTCTGAAACTGTCTTTATAAAGAAGGTAAATGCAGTGAGGTCTAAAACCTAGTCATATGTGTAAGAGGTAGATTTTTTTTGGGGGGAGGGGTTTCAGAAATGGAGTTCCAAGTTTCTTAAACATGTGTCAGGATGAGATAGTGTCAGCATGGAAAATCCTCATTCCAGCCTCTTCGTTTTCCTTGCAGAGAGCCCATGGAGTTGTAGTTGGTGCTATTCTGCAATGTCTCTGTCTGAGAAGGAGAATGAAGATGGACAAAATGAACTCGGTAGGTGAACTCAGAAAACGGAATTAGGTCTGTACATCCTTACTGCTGCCTCAGGAAAGTGTGTGTGTGTGTGTGTGTGTGTGTGTGTGTGTGCATGTGTGCTTTCCCGTGTGTGCATGCACATGAATATATATGACAGACTCAGCCAGCTTACCAACCAGAATAGCAGCCCACTAAGAAAATGACCAAGAAAGGAAATACATTTTGCAGAAGAAAATACATCATGCTTCTAAGCACATGGTCCCCAGTTTTGCTATTTGAGAATTCTAATTTAAGTAGTTGAAAGTTTTCATTTTTATACTTTCCCAGTATTTGGAAATTCACCAGGAAAGCTTGAATTTCTTTCCCTCTTCCCATGTTTATAACTGCTTTTTGCTAAAAAGAGAAGGACAGTGTAAAAAAAAAAATTGCTGAGCCAATTAATACCCTCAGCAGTCTTTCTGTGAACAAAACAAATGTATCTGGCTGGTGCTAGGGAGGGCTCCAGTGTCTCATCACGGAGTCCTGGTGTAGAGCAGGGTGGTAATGGGCGCAGGAGGGGCACGGCAGCTGTCTTTCAGAATGGAGCTGCCTGACTTGTCAAAAGTAAAATAAAAACTTCTGACATGAGATTTTGAAATTTGAAAGATTTGAAAAAGCAAGGCAGAATGTCCTTCAAGAGTTAGGATTCCTTTTGCAAATGACATGAATTTGCTGATTAAAGGCCACACTGTACCTTCTCTCCAGCCTAAATCCCAGCTCTGCTGTTTGCTCTTTCCTTTTGCACAAATCTCTTCGTTTTCTGTCCTCAGGGAAAAAGCATTTGCCAAGGATGTGCACGGCCCTGGGTTTAGTACGCAGTGTCACAGACACAGGGACAAATGGGGTCATAGTATGGGTGCTCTTGTCACTGGCTTCTCCCAGTTGATCGTCTTTACTGCTTCTGTGGTCAGGTGATACTCCACTGTAGACCTGCACCACAGTTTATCTGTTGGTCAGTTTAGAGGCATTTTATAACTTGTACTTTTTTGGCCATCATGAATAACTGTTATGCTACATATTTGTATACAAATGTTTATGTGACTACATAATTTCAGCTGTCATAGATCTTCACAGGTCACAGTTGTTTTTAGTGAGGAGGAGTGGAGGACACAGGAAGGAAACTTTACATCTTTTCCATCTAATATTGTTTTAGAATCTTCTACAGTGGAAGATGTATTTCATGTTACTTTGAGTAATTTTTTAAAAAACAAAAACAGGGAAATAAGTTGAAAGGGACATACAATAAGAAAGGAAGAGAAAGGGGAGAGAAAGGAAGCTATGTGGAAGGAGGAAGACATGATAGTATGGCATGTGGACAAAGTTCATCAGAGGGCGGGAGACACCTCAGAGGGTAAGAGCATCTGTTGCTCTTCAGAGGACCTGGATTTGATTCCCAGCATCCACAGAGCACCTCACAGCCACCTGTAACTCCAGTCCCAGGGGATCCAGGACTGTCTCTGACCTCCATGGGCACCAGGTGTGCCCATGGTGCACAGACATACATGTAGGCAGACACCTATACACACAAAATGGAATTTTTAAAAGAGTTAAACAGAGCCTTAGAATTAGAATCCAATCCAGTAGTGCATTTAAACACACACACACACACACACACACACACACACACACACACACACACACACAGAATGGACATTTAAATAAACACACACACACAGAATGGACATTTAAACAAACACACACACACAGAATGGACATTTAAATAAACACACACACACAGATGGACATTTAGGTTACACAGCTCTGTGAGAACATTAAAGCTACTGAGTTGTGCATTTTGTGCTGTAGTAGTGTTACCCAGTCTTCTGAAGCTGCTAGAGCTCGTGTCTGGAATTTTGTTTCTTTATCGGTCCTCTTAGAAATAGGTCTGATCATACTAAAGTAATTGTTTCTTTGAGACTTGATTCTGCTTTTCCTTATATTACTATTTCTTTTTCTTTGGAATTTAAAAAGATATGAGTTCTGGTGTCTTGGAATATTTTTCTAGGAAGTCATAGAGAGGTGTACTTGATGAGGGAAGGCTTTCATTACAGTTGTGCTTAGGTAAAAAGCAGAGGATTCTATTAAAATGCAAAGAAAGAGGTGAAATCCTTTCAGATAACTACAGTGACATTAGGAATTTCTTGACCTCAGTAGCTGGAAAAGGTTCCTGAGTAAGTTTGAGTTTCAGATAAACAATGCAGAACTTTTAGTGTTAAATGTACCCATGTAGGTTGTAGGATTATTTGTAATCTCTGTTTTTTAATTGGTAAATCTGGCAGCCCTACACAGAAGGGATTAAGTTTTAACTCTGTTAACAGTGAAATCACTTTGTTGGCATAATCTAGGTATTTCGTTTCTAAGGATGGCCTTTAATAGAAATTTCCAGGGAAGATTTTTGTGGCTGGACAGCCATGAAAATGATGTCCAGCAGTTTAGTCTAGTGGGACTGATTTTATCTTTACCACATTGATCAGATGTCACTGGTCCTACGTTCCAAATGAAGCGGGGACGGTGAGCAAAGTGTCCTTGTCTTCTGTGGGAGTCACTATGAATAATGTCTGTCCACTTCTGCCTCAGAGAGGAGAGGGAAGAGACACAGGACTTGAGGGTAGGCCTCTGTTTCTAGCAAGTCCTGAATTACGCTCACCAGACCAGTTGATTTGTTTGTGTTTGTTTATTGATTTGTTTTTGAGACAGACTTTCATTATATCGCCCGGGCTGGCTTTAATTCCCGAGCTTCCTACCTCAGCCTCCAAAGCGTTGGGAGAGCAGGTGTGCCACCATGCTGGACTTTAAACCAGGTTTCTATGTGACTTAATATGCTTAATAAAATAGGATTTTTTTTCTCTTATGTCATTTTGATCTTCTTTATCTTCTTTATTTTTAATTTTTACTTCTTGTTCTGGGAATTGAACCTAGGGCCTCTTGCTCCACCATGCTCCCAGCAGGCCCGAGTCCTTTAACGGGTCTACGCTGGCTTTCACTGAGGCCACAGAGAAGAACCAGGGAAGCTCTGAGGATGTGGGAACAGAGGCCCAGGAGGACTGTGAGAGCTCAGGGATGGCACTGCAGCTGCTAAAGACTTCAGTGAGCTTCCTCTGCAGGCTCTTCTGGGCAGAACTACACACCCTCCTCAGCCAGGCTGGGACATCCACCTGCTTACTGACTTTAGCTTCCCAAGGTCAGCAAAGCTCCAGCGTTAGCTGAGGGTCTTCTCAGCCCAGCTGCTCTGTGGCCATGTAAATCCTCCCACAGGGAGAAGGTCATCACCTTCCGCTTCAGAGTCTGCACGGAAATCTGACCTCAGTGTGACAGAACATGTTTGTAAGCAGATTTTCATGTGTGTGTTTGTTCATTAAACAAATCTTCATTAAATCAAGGGCATTCGAGCTGAACTAAGCAGCGGGATGCTAATATTTAAAGAAAAGAAAAAAGGAAGTACCCAAGCACGGTGGTTCAGGACTGCAGTTCCATCCTCAAGGGTGCTGGAGCAGGGGGATGGCCTGTTGCAGGCCAGTCTGGACTAGTGACACCCTGCCTAAAAAAAATAAAACTAATTAAAACAAGGAGAAGTATGAAATTGTGCACATTTAATGTGTACACGATACTCTAAAATACATACATGCACTTTAGAATGAGTAAGTCACGCTAATTAATCTGCATTACCGTGCATAGTCATGTTTGTTTGTTTGTTTGTTTTGTGAGAGCACTAAAAATCTACTCTCAACATTTTTTAAGGATGCAATGTATTATCAACTACAGCCATCATATTTGAGCAATGGCTCTCTTGAACTTATTCCTCATACCTGAAAATTTGTACCCTTTAACTGGCACCTCCCAAAACTTCCCCCATTGCTGCCTCAGACTTAGTAACCAGAATACTGTTCAACTATTTTAAAAAAAGGAAATCTTGTAATTTATGACAACATGTATGATCCTGAAGCACATTATGTAACTGAAATAAGCCATGCAAAGAAAATTAAATACTACATGATATCATTGGTATATATGCAAACTAAAAGAAAAGTGGATCTCGGCTGGCCGTGGAGGCACAGCACCAGGAAAGCACTTGAAAGGCCGAGGCAGGAGGATCTCATGTTTGAGGCCAGCATGAGCTACACAGTGAGACTCTGGATCTTATTATCTTTATTTTAAGGACCTGTTTAGTGAAGAAAGACTGTTTTCGGTCTGATAGGTGAGTGGCTGTAGCCCACTGGACACACAACTGCTGTGTAATGGAATGAAATTGTAATGAAAGAGCAAATTCATGTACTGCATCTTCTTTAGAGCCATAGATTCGGGTCTTTCTTCCGATGACTCTGCTGTACCACTTGGCTACTGCCATTATTAAATATGTAGAACACCATCTGGTGGCTGTACTCCATATGTCTCACAGTTTGAAGAGATTATAAATGTTCTCGTGTGCCCAAGACTGTAAGTCACATAGCTACTAACTAAATCAGCTCCTAACGATCCTGTTTTTATATTGTAATTGACTACCATAAATCATAATTATTTGAAATCGAAGAAATTCCAGTGTTCCTAATACAAGTAGATACCCTTCCCCTAGCAGCTTATATTTAGACAAGAGAGAAAAGGACATTTCCATTACAGGGACTGTGTAAATAACAGTTGAAATCACCTCTCCCTACTTATGTAGCATTGCATCTAGAAGCTCTTCCTCAGTTTCCCTTCCTAGTACCTGGGCTGAATGTAGAGAGCTAGAAGGAGAGGAAGATTTGATTAATCTAGCCAGAGACTTGCACTCTTGACCATCACTTCATTTTTACCTAGAAAATATCATTTGTATTCATTTCCCATTTTGAGCAAGCAAATATTCACTCATAATTTCCTGAGCCAGATGCCTAACCAGCCAACCACCACATTTTCCTCTCTTCTGGATCATTTTTCCTCTTCATTACTCACTTTCCAGCATACCATCTTTTTCAAGCTCCATCTCTCCAAACCCAGTTTTCAATATTAGATCCCACCTTTATCCTTGTCAGATTTCTGCTCTCTGTTTGACCAGCCTAGTATCATCTGAGAAGGTAATCTCAACCTGAAGCATTGTCCAGATAGATTGGCCTGTGGGCATGCTTGTGAGGGACTGGGTGTTAACCGATATGAGAGGGCCCAGCCCACTGTGGCCCTGGCGGTATAAGGAAGCTAGCTGGGTCCGCCAGCAGGCCAGCAAGCACCACCCCTCACGCCTCCTTGCTGACTCCCTTTGCTGTGAGGGAGTTCTGTAATCAGGGTACTGTTGTGTGGAAAGGCAAGCACTCCTGGCTTCAAGTTTCCGCTTGAGTTCTTACCCTGACCTCCCTCAGTGATGGGCCATGGCCTGGGAACAGGAGCCAAATAAGCACTTTCCTCCTCTGAGCTGCTTTTGGTTTTATCACAGCAACAGACATGAGACTAGGACCACCTTGTCTGGATTAATTTCTAATCTTCTGTATTTTTAACCCTAAAATTTGAGATTGGATTACATCAGTATTGTATAAGAACTGGACTTTTTCATCCTTGTCATTTGAATGCAAACCGAGTATATCCTTAAACAGAGACTTCTATTATTGCCTCTACTTTCCTGCAGAGTAAGTGAGAATTCTTCTCACTACACGGGGCTAGCCCAGCCACCTTAGATCACTGAGGATTCAGAACCTACTTTAGGGGCTCAGTAGGTGAAAAGCTAGCTGTTCAAGTATACGAGGACCTGAGTTCAGAGCTCTCCTATCATATCTGGAGGAGGCAGAGACAAGAAACTCCTGAAGCTTGGGGCCAACTAGTCTGACCGGGGGCAGTTAACAAAAGGTCCTTCTCAGATGAAGTGGGAGGTTGGTGCACAGGCAGGTGCTGACAGGTATGCATCCACACTCATACATAAGAACACATGCATGTGCACAGACACAGTGCACACAGAGGTTTTAAGATTTATTTCTATTTTTATGGGTGAGTGTTTGCCGTGTATGTGCATGTCTGTGCTCCATGTGCACACCTGGAGCCCATAAAGGCCAGAGGAAGGCACTGGATCCCCTGGAACTAGAGTTGCTAACAGCTGTAAGCAGCCATATGGGTGCTTAGAACTGAACTCAGGTCCTCTGCAGGAGCAGCAAGAGCTCCTAACCACTGAGCAATCTCTATAGCCCCCAATTTTTTAACCTGCTTTAGAGAGTGGAGAAATATCTCAGTGGTTAAGGCTGTATGTCATTCTTGTAGAGGACCCGAGTTCTGTTCCCATCACCCCTGTTGGGTGGTTCACAACTGCCTGTAACTCCAGCTGTAGGAATCTGACACCCTCTTCTTGATTCTGTGGGCACCTGCACTCACACATCCACAACCCCCATACCCCTGCATACACACACACACACACACACACACACACACACACACACACACACACATAATTTTAAAAACAAATAAAATCTGCTCTAGGTATGGACAACTATATCAGTATTCATGAAATACCCTTTATCATAATATCGCGAAGAAACATAGCATTTAATGTGTACTTTGAGCAGTCTGGAAACAGCCCTTAGACACACCTTCACATTTAACCTTCACATTAGCATGTAAGGTAGGTTTTAGCTATCCCACTTTTTTTAATAAGTATTTTTATTTTATAATCAATTTAATTTTTTTTTTTTTTTTTTTTTTTTGTTTTTCAAGACAGAGTTTCTCTGTGTAGCTTTGCGCCTTTCCTGGAACTCACTTTGGAGACCAGGCTGGCCTCAGACTCACAGAGATCTGCCAGGCTCTGCCTCCTGAGTGCTGGGATTAAAGGCATGCGCCACCACCACTCAGCCGTTAAAGGCTAGGCTCACAACCAATAATTAATTTAATTTTACATATCAGTCACAGATTCTCCTGTCCTCCCTCCTCCCACTCCCCAGCCTTCCCCCCCAATTCACCCTCCATTCCCACCTCCTCCAAGGCAAAGTCTCCCCTGGGGAGTCAGGCCAGCCTGGTAGATTCAGTTGAGGCAGGTCCAGTCCCTTCCTCCCTACATCAAGACTGAGCAAAGTGTCTCATCATAGACCCTAGGTTCCAGAAAGCCAGCTCATGCACCAAGGACAGGTCCCAGTCCCACTGCCTGGGGGCCTCCTAAACAGTTCAAGCTAATCAACTGTCTCACTTATCCAGAGGGCCTGGTCCAGTTCCATGGGGGCTCCTCAGCCACTGGTTCAGAGTTCATGTGTTTCGCTAGTTTGGCTGTCTGTCCCACTTTTTGTGTGGTTTTGGGTTTTGTTTTTTTGAGGGAGCCTCCCCGTGTATCCCAGGCCAATCTTGAATTCTCTGTCCTACAGCAGCCTCTCACCAGGCTGGGCTGTCTCATCTCACATGAGAAGGAGCTGAAGAAGCTCCGAGATGGGAAATGACTTGTCCTAAGTCACTCGCAGCCCAGTCAAAGCTCCAGCTGCAATTGCTGCTGTTTTCTGAGCGTATTTTCTGAGCTGAGAGCTACTTTCAAGTGCATTACATGCCTTAGCTCAGCAACCTCACAGTAACTTTATGAGTAGGTATTCCTGCCATTTCCATTTTACAGATGAAGAAAATGAGTCTCAAAGAGGTTAAAGGACTTCTTCAAGGCTCCACAGCTGGTGAGTGGAGGATTGGGATTTGAACCCTAGCAGCCTGATCCATTTGTCCATTTTCTTAACTACTTTGGAAGCCTGCTGTACTTTAAAGTTTTCAGTGCTACTGGAGCCCCACGTGGCCTTCTAGTCCCATGATTTCACTAGCTCAGGCCAGCTTTTAGCACAGATCTTGTGAAGTCATGTCATCGCTGGATAGGCTGCAAATCCAGCCTTCAGCTACAATGGAAAATATTTTCCACATTCACCACACACCAGAGCTAGATGTTTGTCCCTTTCCCCAAGTTTAAGAAACCCCCGTGATTGTTTCTGTTTTTAAGTTTTAATTATTTATTAGTTCTTTTTCCCTTTTATTGAAAATAGATTGTTTTTCTCACATAATATATCCTGATTACCATTTCCCCTCTCTCTACTCCTCCAAGTTCCTCCCCTCCTCCCCTCCCATCCACATCTGCTCCCTTTCTGTCTTTCATTAGAAAACAAACAGCTGGGCAGTGGTGGCGCACACCTTTAATCTCAGCACTCGGGAAACAGAGGCAGGAGGAGCTCTGTGAGTTCGAGGCCAGTCTGGGCTATAGAGTGAGTTCCACGACAGGCTCCAAAGCTACACAGAGAAACCCTGTCTTGAAAAACAAAAAACAAAAAACAAAAAACAAAACAAAAAAAAAACCCAACAAAAACAAAAACCTGAATCTACCAGGCTGAGCTGAATCCCCAGGGGAGTCCTTGCCTTGGAGGAGGTGGGAATGGGGGGTGGATTAGGGAGTGGGGGGAGGACAGGAGAATCCGTGGCTGATATGTAAAATTAAATTAATTATAAAATTAAAAGAAAAAAGAGGAAGAAAGAAAAAGAAAATGAACAGGCTTCTAAGGGATAATAATAAAATACATAAAAATAAAATGTAATAAGGTAAAACAAAAACTATCACAGAGTTGTACAAGACAAACA